TGTGAGGAGGCAGCGGTGCGCGGAGCCCTCCCTGGATGTGCTGCTGGCCACGCCGGGGGCCCTGTGCAAGGCGCTGCGGAAGCGGATGGTGACCCTGGAGCAGCTCAGCTGCCTGGTGCTGGATGAGGCTGACACCCTGCTGGACCCCACGTTTGTGGAGCTGGTGGAGGAGGTGCTGGCGCATGCTCCCCTGACCTGCAGGCCCCAGGATTTGGCTGATCCGTGGGATGTCAAAACCCAGCTGGTGGTCGTCGGAGCCACCTTCCCTGGAGGCCTGAGCCGGCTGCTGAGCAAGTTTAGTGACATTGGCCACTTTGTCAGGCTCATCAGTCAGAGCCTGCATTGCCTCCTACCCCACATCCAGCAGAAATTTGTCCGGATCAAAGGCAGAGACAAAGTGTCTGAGCTGTTGCAGCTCATCAAAGTCCGGAACCCTTCCAGTGGAGCCCTTCTGGTCTTCTGTAACAAGGCCCCCACAGTCAACTGGCTCAGCTACATCCTTGATAATCACAAAATCAAGCACCTGAGACTGCAGGGCCAGATGCCTGCAGCCATGAGAGCAGGTATCTTCTCTGCCTTCCAGAAGGGAGAGAAGGACATCCTTGTCTGCACTGATTTAGCTTCCCGAGGACTGGATACCAGCCGCGTGGAGCTGATAGTCAACTATGACTTCCCAGACACCCTGCAGGACTATCTCCATCGGGTAGGGCGTGTTGGTCGTGTGGGTAGCCAGAAGCCTGGATCTGCAATTAGTTATGTGACCCATCTGTGGGATGTTGACCTGGTGAGGAAGATAGAGACTGCAGCCCGGAGAAGGACTAGCCTCCCGGGTATGAAGACCTCCATTGATGAGCCTTTGCCTGAAACAGACTCGACTCAGACTGCCAAACAGCAATGAATTTTGTGTTTGAATTAGACTTAGGCTCCTACTAAAGGCTTACTGTTATATTTAATACTGGCAATCTTATGTTTGTGACCCAGAATGTAAATGTTATAGCCAAAGAATTTAAGCTTTTCGTTGCGTCATGACCCTAAGGTGTATTGATTCATTTCAGTTGTAGCAATTACTTTACATTTTTGCAAAATCAAATTGTAGTAATGTGCAACAGGTAGTTAAAATGCTTTTAGGGAAGGCTTGAAATTGACTTTCTCAATTTCATTGCTTTTGATCTATTTGTTCAAAGCTCATTAATATTCAATTTGATGTAAATCAGATGTATCTGGATAAAAAATAAGTTAGGATTATGTAGTCACTATAATCCTGAAAATTATATTTCATTAATGTTCTAGTATAGGTGGCTAGCTATGTTAGCCTGATGTCAGGCAGAAGGTAGGGCGGGGCAGCACCCTTGAAACTGGTTCAGAGAGGCATGAGTTTTCACAGTGATCTGCTGTGTCAGATGCTAGGAAAGGACTCCCATTTCTAGCTCACTGTTTCTACCTTGCTTACCTTCTGGCTGCGCTGATACAATATTAGCAACAGCCAGGAACTGAATATTAGGTGAAGGTTAAAATAACAATTATTGTGGAAATATGTTGCCTCTTCCCTCAAGTGTATTAAAGGTTATATATATCTGTTAAAGGTTATATAACTATTGTAAATTAAGGCTTGTTTATCTCCAGCACAGGTAGGTGTAGTGGAAGTTTCTGGACCATAATCTAACCTTCTATCTGAACTCTGACGTTGCAGGAAAAAACATCTTCCTTGGTCTTACAATGTCACAGTACAATACAGATTCAGAAATTTTTTCCTGGAAATACACACCAGGTATTTCAAAAGTGGAGCTAGGACACAATGGAAAGAAAATGGAAGGGAAGTGCTGGTTAAGCAGTTTGTACTCCAAGGTTACCTCCCAGTAGTACATTTGTAGTATTTTATAGGTTGAAGAGAGAGGCCTTTCACGCTTTTTTATGAAAGTTCTTTTGCTTGTTTTTTATTATATATTCAGGCTTTAATTGTTGAAATATTAGGGTAAGGAGAATCTCTGGCGAGAAGAATGTACCTCTCAGAGTGCCATTCACAAGTAGATCAAAGCACTGTTTAAAGGGGGGGTCATAGATAGTGCATTAGGCACCCAGAGATGAAATAACTTGGCCACAGTCACCAAGTAGGCTATTGATGGTTGGAAATAAGATGTAAGTTCCATGAATCCTGCTCTGGCACACTGATACTTAACACCTAAATAAAACTCCTCCTTTGTCAAAAGGGTTGGAGTCAAAACTGTCTCCCTCAATTTTTTGTGAACCATTGTAGATTCTGTGTTCCCTCCTCTTCCCTCCTCCAGGCAGCTGCAGTAAAAGCATCACGGACTGTGTGTCAGTCTGAGGAGAAGGAGTAGGAGAATAGGGGAGTGAAAGGTAGTGTTGAGCTCTCCCATGTCTGCGCTCAAAAATAAGTTTTAATGGATGAGGACAGCTTCACAATTTTGTCCAAAGTCTGTCTTCTCTGACTCCCCTGCATTATGTCATGGACTGAAAAGGAAATGCTTTGACCGAATGCTGCCTATAGCAGTGTGAGTGGGCAAGTTATTGCTTTTGAATGGAATTGTTTCCTGGTGAGTGGCTTCATTACTTCCTTGTCTGATTTTTAAGGAAGTTAAGCCCTATTTTTGGGTTTTTAGTCAATCATCAGTGTTAGAAAACAAAATTTTGATTCATAGCTGAGATTTATTACAGATCCTTTACCACTTAATCCATCTTTCTGTGTACCTGCTTATATCCCCTCTGTCAACTCAGGGGTGTGGAAAGTGCTAATATGGTCAAAAGACTAATTACTGAAAAGATCAGAGTGGGATATTTCTGTTATTTTTTTGCAAGGGAAATTGTGCATAACTATATACTAGTAGTAATAGACATGCAAAGGAAAAACACAAGCAATTACAATACTACTCTGGTTTCACTAAGTATTTGGGGAAACTTAGCTCAAGCTTAACTAATACAGTTCAGGTTCAGAAATGTATGCCTAGAGAGAGAGAGCTGGGATCTCACCGGTCCAAGGTACTCGAGTCTCAAAGCTGACGGGTAAAATTCCTAACACAGTCCTTGAAACGAAATGATCTGTTCTTCCAGCGTTCCAAGAATGACGGGATGGTGTCAGCACAGGAGTTTTCTTCTTTCTTGAAGGACCCACACTGTTTACAGATTTTTATACCCTCAGTTCAGCTGCTTCGAAGCATCCTCAATTGTGTAAATCCTTGTCTTTTCTATTGACAAGGGGTTATCTGGTTTGGAACATCTCAAGAAACTGATTGATAATCAGGAAACACACAAGATTAGGGAGTAACCAAATACTTGGGAGCCATCTTGAAATTCCTATGGATAGCAGATATACTGATGGGATATCTCGTGGTTTCTTCAGAAACAATAGATAGCTTGCAGCATCAGGATTTTGGATTTTTACTTGTGCACAAGCCTCAGCTTAGCATGACTTTTCCAGATCTTACTATAGTCTTTTAACAGACTTAAGATAATTATTGGGGTGCTCATAACCTTTTGTGGTGAGGACTTCCACCAGTCGTCTCAGGAAAAGCATGACAACACCTGTGATTAGGGCTCCAACGGGCTGGACGCTGTGATGAACCCTTAACCATTGTTCAAATGTTGCCCATACCCGCTCTGACTCAGTCTCTTGCTTCAGCATTCCCTAACCCGGCAACCGAGCTTTAGTCAATCAAGTTTAAATAGGCCTCCCATAGTGGGACCAGGGAATGTACAGCCCGAGATGCCTATTAAACTTAGAGGTGTGTGTGTGTCTGGGCGGGGGAAAGTCCTTAGTAAATCCAGATTAGAACTGGTCTGATAAATGCTGAGCTGGGTGTGTGTGAACATGGGTTGATTAGCATTTGGAGCACAGATTCCCCATCATGCAGTGCTCCCCTGCTTCTCTGGTCCCAGAATTCACTGCAGTCTCTGCTTCAGGCTTTCTGTTCTCCATCTCTCATGTAAACGAATGGTCATCTGGTTCCATCTCGGATACAAATGAGACCTAGGGCAGTTTCACTCTTGTCACCCTTACCTGGAGGGTCTTAGGTGTCTCTCTCACTGCATCTTAACCAGTTTCATTTATGTAGAGGAGGGGAGGGAGGGGGGGTGAATCAGACAGACTGCATCCTGTGCCAGGGTTCCCAAGAACACACAGCTGAGATGTAACATCTTTCATGACAGCCTTTAGAATAAAGTCTGTAATGAAAACTAGATGTTGGACACTAGTAATCTATTCATGTTACAGCAGTGAGAAGAATGTTGTGGGGAATCTTCAGGCTGTAGCGGTATAGTTGGAAGATTTCTTTTATTCCCAGTTGGTAAAGAGAACTGGAATAGCAATGCAGTAAAAGAACCTGGGGACCCTTGTATTTTGACTACATTAAGCATTATGTGCTGCTTGTCGTCCACTGTGAAGTTAATTGCAAATTTTTGTCTGTATATGTGCATAGGAAGAAACAATACCAAAGATCCATGGCAGTGTGCAGGAGGAACCTTTTGGGCATAATTTATGGAATGGACTAAAGGAGTATTAATATTTTCAAGTGGCTTCTGCATGAATGCTACTCGTATACTAGCAACCTCATATTAATTCCAGTCGGAGGTTGTGCACTGAAACCTCTCATTTCAACTTCCTTAAAATAGCTTTATTTCCTTGTCTGTTCTGTAGTCCTCTGTTATCTACAGCCAGCTCAGGCAGTTTATCACTTTTTACTATCTTGTACCATCTATACTTTTCCCAAAGCCTGATGAAGGGACTTGGATCCTGAAAGCTTGCAGAAAAGGACAATTTTTTCTGATTCTCCAGTTTGTCTAATAAAAGGTATCACTTTGGAACCAAGAGTTCTAGTTTTTTGTATTACTCAAAGCACTAAGCGAATCAGACCCTCTGATTCTGCCACTGGATTTACTGAAATCAATTGCTGAGGCCTAGTCTGCAGCATAAATTTGGTCAACTGGGAGGGAACAATGAGAGGGAAGCAGCATGTTTGTTCTTCAGCTTGAAAACAAGTCTTGGCAAACAAAAAACAACATACAGTTAGAGTCCAGGTCTCTGTTATGGTCCATAATAAAAGATTCACTGAGAGAGTATTTCAGGATATGATTGCCTCTTTCCAGAGGTGGGTAAGTGTTTCTGATATAGGACAACAGTTACAGTTGTTAAAGAAGTTATGTCTCAGCATTCCATTGCATTAGCCTATGCATGTACGTGCTAACAGTCTACCAGAATATTTTTGACTGCTTAGATTTAATGGCTATGCCTGCCACCTGAGCAGGTGGAGCTGACCTTGTACACACAAAACTAGTATGGTGTTTTGGAATCAAGGCATGCTGTTTTTCTAGCAGGAAATGTGTGCCCCTGCATATGCATGCTTGGGGGGGGTCAAGCCCATGGAGGGCAAAGTGAGCCACACAGACTCTGCTTGATTTGGTTACATAGATGTTAATTCCTGACTTCTAGTCTTGTATTCAAATTGGTAGACTGCTGTCTTCTAATCATTACACATTGATATCAATAGTCCACAAAGGTAATAAGAACAGTATATTCCATCCAATACAGATGAGAGAGAGATTTTTATGTGGAGGGAAATTTTTTAAAACCTGCATGTTTTCTATTGGAGGCTTCTGATTATACTAGGTTCATAAAGGATATTTGAATCTTGGTTATTATGAGGGTAAAAACTGTTTATAAATAGTACAGGCTTAAATGATTGATAGATGTCTACAGCTTACTTATAACATGAGTGGTGTATATATTATAGATGACTGCAAGCAAAACAGTTTAAACTATTATACATGGTTGTTAGTAACTTAGTAGCCTCTGGGATGATTATTTAATCCTTTATAAATCATTAATTGATGAAACTTTAATAGACTGTGATAATTTAGAACATTTATGAGACCATTGGTCAAACTTCATGAATCCCTTCAGTAGCAGATCATTGCATGTGAGTCAGTTTATCCTAGCTCAGTCTGAATTGCTGCACACAGTATTTTAATGCAGTACTGTCAAATGACATAATTACATAACAGTGACAAATAAGATTGTTCCAACCAATTTTACAGAATGAACTAGTGACACTTTTGTATGTTTACAAATAGCAGCTCTTATCAGTAGTGCTCAGTTTGGATGATCCAATCAAATAGTGACTGTGGTACAATTCTATAAAATGAGGCCTTTTCTCTTAATTTCAAGTGACACACTGTCCAATAAAAGCATTTGGGTATACATTCTTTATAGTACATGTACCAACAAAATTATTTCTATGCAATACCTTTAAAGAGAGAGAGACTGGCACAACGGCTATGGGTGAATAAACTATTGTGTGTGCACTTCTGCCACAAAGTAAATGAAAGAGAGGCTGCAGTAGCTTTGCCCTTTATGGAAGAGTGCTTAGCAAATCTCTCTCATTCATATAGACCAGTACTAGAGGCAATAATTAATATTATCAGTTGCATTCAGGTGAACACTAGCATTCAATCCCAGAAGTATGAAGGCAATAAGGAGATGCCAAATGGAAATGCTTAGATCTCTAAGAGCAAATTGTGGTTAAGGTCATGCATGTTTCTCCTGCTCTTCTTAAGGAAATCCTTTGTGAAACAGGAAGACCTAATCAAAGCTAATGAATTAAAAATAAGCCCAACCGACACAACCTAGAAACACTAATGCCCTGACATTAGTTAAGACACAATATCACTGAACACTTCAAGGCTCTTCCTTAACTACTACAAATAATTTCTCCAAGTATTACATTTCCACTTGCATTTAACCTAATCACTGACAGCTTTTTTTACAACACAGGTCCATGTTGTTTCCTTTCTGATTAAACTATCTTCTATATAAACTTCTGTCTCAACATCTTTATAGGGATTTACAGATACCAAAGACTTCATAGAACCCATCACTAGGATATCCAAGTTCCACAGGTTTACAGAATCCAGTGTTTAATAGGCCATGACAACCAGCTCTGTGAACTGTTCTCAACAGCTTTTTGGAGGGCTGACTCCTGCGATGCCACTGATATAATGAATGAGTTATTCTTACAAAGCACATACTAATCTTGAATTAAATCAGTAGGAGTCAGATTTTTTTATTCTTTTTTTTAACTTTAATTTCTTCTGAAAGAGATTCTTATTTGTATGCCCAGTTCACACATTAGTTGTTGAATGGGTGGTGGAGAAGTTCTCCATGCGTATTCTCACCAGCTTCTCAGCAGTAGCTGGCTGCAGGAGGAACTTGCAGGTGAAGACTTGCCGACAAGCCTTGCGGAAGTTCTCAGAGAGGAACGCATAGATGATAGGGTTAATGCAAGAGTTCCCATATGCTAAGCAGTGAGAGATGATGCGAAAGGTGAAGGAGATATTGTTCAGTGGAAATTGCCCAAACTCTGCCCACATGGTGATGATGTGATGTGGCAGCCAGGAGATCAAGAAGACAGCAACCACGAGTAGTACTGTCTGTGCTGTCTGGAAAAGATAAAAACTATATGTTAGATAATATCATTAGTGTTTAAGCATGAGTTATAAATTAAGTTTGTGTCCCTAATCCTATTCCCAAGCTTCTGGTGGCAAAGATTGTACTAGCCCCTGTTGGACCAGTGATCAAATCCCATATCATTGTTTATTATTAATCACATATTTTACAGTAATATCTATGATTTGTTATCCAATCCATAATACAATGGTAGATAAAGACAGTGGTTGATAGTTCCTACCTACAAGAGCTTACAGGGGAGAGCTGTGGGCTCTCCCATGCAGTTTCTGGGCAAGGAAGGTACTTCAGGAAGGCAGTAAGGAGGGGTTGGGAGTCAACTGGCACCCATTTTACGCCCTCCTGCTCAGTACAGTAATTTTGGCTGCTCCTATGTGTGTTTCTCAAACAGAGGCGGGCAATTATTTTGGGCAGAGGGCTGCTTACTGAGTTTTGGCAAGCCATCAAGGGCCATGTGACAGGCAGTCGGGGGCAGATACGTATTAATTTTCTAAAATTTTTAGGGGCCCTGCAGGCCAGATAGAATGGCCTGGTGGTCTGCATTTTGCCCACTCCTGTTCTAAAATGTTAAAAGTGACACATTAGTTTTGTTTCATGTTTTGGGGTGTTTTTAAATTCTATACTGCAGCAGTACTTGTCTTATGAATAGTGCCTCTCAATTTGCTCTTCTAGACTGGATCCAGACATGCAGGC